TACTTTACTGTATTAAGCGGCCACCTCTACAAAGGGGGTCGTTGTCACCCTTTACTTAGCCCTAGCCCTAACGGTCTGTTAATTTGTATTGTTTTCTACCTGTAGTGAACGGTCACCACTTAAGCGGAACTACTCAAATCAAACTGAGAATAATCTTTTAAGCACGGTTTAATTCATGTTAATCTCCCGAAATCAATGTTAATAGTATTTTTGAGCGAGTTTTTGTATGGAAGGAGGTCAATTATGCGATAAAATGGCATTTTTTACGACGTTCATTCGTCGTATGACGCTAACGCGTTTTACAGCAGTTCATAAACCCTTAGTATTTTCGTGGTGACTTTTCAATCAGTTCCTTTTTCTCTCCTTTCTGTCTCCTCGAGTGATTCACTTCGCTGTTCCCTTTTCCTTATCCGGCGTCAATTTTCCGTTTTCCGTTTTGATTTTGACATCCCTTGGAATTTTTAACTGCTTTTTTTTAATCTGGCGGCGACAACAATTAATATGAATTTTAGACTTGTTTGGAGAAAAAATAAAGTAACAGGAAACCGCATGCCGGCGTGGCTCAGGGTAACGCTAGAATCGAAGAGGCCTGGTTTCTCCGCCAAGATAACGTCAAAACCCCATAAAAAAAAAAGGGCACAAAACGGCGGGGGGATAAATAACACCTAGATACAGATGCTCCGACTGAGTGAGTACGAGAGAGAAGAGAGGGATTTTGTCTGTGTATGTTCTATTAAATTTTTATTTGCTGTAAATAATCGCTGGTATGCACCTGTGCCGCGCGTCCCGTCCGTTTCAGTTTTGGAGTAGATGTGCTGAAGAAGCGAAGGTGGAAAATATAATGGTGCGTGTATTTGAGACAAAGTTTCTTGCAATTATTGTCAATTTTCCCTTTGTTATTTTGGCGGAAGAGTGAAAAAGTCGAAAAGTGGTTCCATGGAGCCACCACCGAAAGACTTCTCCTTAGTCCCCAGGGCCCGCCTTGACGAAATGTCTTCGGGGAAGATTGGTTCCTAATACTCATCATCAAAATGGCAGCCCAGTGTTTATGGAAAAGATTGCCTGGATGTCGAGAAGTGTTGCAGCTTTCGCACCGATTGAAAGAAAGAGGAATTCGGCCTCTGTGTAGGGGATTTAGTCTAGAAACAAAAGGAAAGGGTAAACGATTTCCCTGGACTTTGTTGGGTTCATTAGCTGGTTTCTCCCTTGGATATCTGTTAGCAAAGCACAGAGAGAATCAACTCGCTGGTATTCGTGGCCTGATGGTTGCAGCAAAGACAAATTTTCAGGATGAGGTAAACTCAACCGATTCTGGATCACCCCCACGATCTGCAACGTTCAATTTTATCGCAGACGCCGTGGAAAAAGCTGCACCAGCTGTTGTGTACATTGAAATCACGGGACGACGCGCGGGATTCGGGTTCATGGGACATACTGGTCCTACTAGCTCAGGTTCCGGGTTTATAGTAACTGAGGACGGTATGGTTCTGACAAATGCGCATGTTGTTGAAAACGCTGCAAAAGTGACTGTGAAATTAAAAGATGGAAGGGAATTTAGTGGCATTGTTGTTGATCTTGACTTTGAAAATGACCTGGCAGCCGTGCAGCTAGAGTCAGATAAGGTATTAGCTAATCTGGCATTTGCATTTTTATGGTTGCATTGCCTCTAGTGGATAATAAGCAATTATTGAATGAGGTCAAGCATAATACCATGAATTATCAACTGAGGTCTTAGTTTGATAATTCATGATGTCATGTGCAAACCAAATTCAGTAATTGCTTTATTATACCTTTTTAGCCATTTTGAGGTTCTTTCTGAGTTTGCAAAAGTTTGACAACACAACATGGATGAGGGGCTTGGAAACTAGGAAGACTTTGAACTCAACATGATAAATGCAATAACCATGCTCAACTAATCAGATTTTTCATCATAATTTATGCAGGGGGGTCTAATTTTAGAAGAAATTCACAACAGTAATCTTTTTCTTTGAGGGTCAAAGCAGAGCTTCATTTCCTATGTCATTGTTTTTCCTGCCATTAAACTAAGAAACAATTCTGGTATACCTTGATGAACTCTGACTGGGGAGGGGAAATTAAGAACTGTTCAGTATACCAGGGAGTTTGAGTTACCTGGCAATAAGTGAATGAAAAATGCACTTCAAGGAAAAAAATAATAATTTTCTATATGTTCATAGCCCACCTAAATATGTTATTACCCTCATCTGAGCTGAATTAGCTCACTTCCACATTTTGTTACCTGAAAACTGCATTTCTTTCAGCCAATCAGAGTGAACTATTAAAAGAAACAAGCATGTAATCAAGATTTATTTTCAGAGTGAACTATTAAAAGAAACAAGCCTGTAATCAAGATTTATTTACTGGTGCCTTTCAATAATAAGGTAAATACATAATTCAGATTATTTCATCTCTATTTCAGAATATTAAATTCCCAACACTTACCCTTGGTTCATCATCGACAATAAGACCAGGAGAGTGGGTTGTGGCTATGGGTAGCCCCCTTCAGCTTAGTAACACAATAACAGCTGGAATTGTTAGTACAGTGCATCGTGCAGGTGGAGAGATTGGACTTCCAAACCCAGAGATGGAATATATCCAGACAGATGCTGCAATAAACGTAATTTGATTTTCAGCAAGTGGAAGTTTATACTTACAGTGCATGATGTTGTTTTCAGCATTGCAGGTGTATTTGATCACTCTACTCTTTGATCACTGTGGAAACCATACTTAGATTTTATGTGGCCAGATGGTGACTTTGAAGAAAGTTGAGATTGAAACCTCGAGGAGTCATCAAAATTTGTTTACACTTTGATTATCAGGTTGATTTTAAGTTGAATCCATCTTTTTTTGTTTTTGTTTGAAGATTGGAAACTCAGGAGGACCTCTGGTCAATCTGGTGAGTTTTATGCAACTTTTCCTTTTCTCAAACTCAATATTGCAACCTCTTATTCCTTTTTCACCACCTCAACAAACTTATCAGCTTACAAGTATGGCCTCATGTTCATGCCAGATGGTTGTTGGTAAATTTGGTGGGCACTGCATTTGTGTTGTAATTTTATGCTGTTACTTGAGATACCAGTTTTTGATAATGATTCTGTTTTGGATTAGGATGGTCATGTTATTGGGATTAATGCAATAACTGTAAGATTTGCAAGTGGAATTTCATTTTCCATCCCTATTGACACTGCTAAAGAGTTTCTATCACAAGCAATAGAGAGACTTAGGAGCGGTAAACACACACAGAGCAAAAGTCCAAAGAGGCAACTGGCTCCATATGAACGCTGGTATATTGGTGTCAGTATGTTGACACTGACTCCACAGATATTAGAGCAACTGCGGCGAAGGGACCAAAGTTTCAATAAAGTGAAATCTGGAGTGTTTATTCCACAAGTCAATTATGGGTCACCGGCACACAGGTAGGACTTCTGAAAAAGTGTTGGATTAAATCCTTTACAAAAAAATTGTGGTGGAGGGTATTTGGCTTCTGAATAAGCACCCTGTATTTGGTTTTCAGCTGAGATAATGTGAACTACACCTGCTGTGCATCAAATGTCAGATTTTAATTTCTTTGGTGACATGAGTTGCATTGCCTTGGGATGTACATTATGTAATACCTGGGTTGTGTAGTTTCTGGTAAAAAATCATTCTTCTTTATTTTGGAAGCCATATGACCCCATAACTCCTAAGATCCGATGAGACATTTTTAATTAGGAGAATTAAACTTTAGATCTGGGTAAGAACTTCTACCTGAAAACAGAAAGTTTAGAGTATTCTGATTACCTGTGTGCTGGATACTGTGTTGATTTTATGGGGAGAAGTTACATGTTAATCACTTCTTGGCACTATATAGTAAGTGAAGAATCTGTTTCTTTCTCAAGTATCCAATTACAAAAGAAAACATTTTTTTAACCTACAATTTGAGGTGAAGGCAAAGATATGGAACCTTTTAGACTACTATTGCCCAAGATACTTGTGATTTGAAGAGTGTTTTACTTATTTCTTTCAGGGCTGGTGTGCTACCTGGTGATATTTTGACAAAAATAAATGGCAACAAAATAGTGTCCAATAAAGAAGTGTACCGACATGTAAACAGAGGAGAAACTTTCGAGGTTGAAGTGAAGAGAGGGGATAAGCATCTTATATTCACCCTTGAACCTGAAGTTGTGGGATAAGTTATTGTTCAGGGCTTTTACACCTGGCTTGGTACAAAATAAATTTGATTCATGAAAAATTTCCTACAAATCTTTACTTTGCGAGTGGTCAATTAAGGAAACCCAGTGCAAGAAAATATCTAAAGGGTAATAAACTAGGCAGCTTTATTTACATATCTTACTCCCTCCCTATCATCCAGTTCCAGAAACTACCATTTCAGTAATTTAAAGGAAGTTTCAAAACTACCACAAATTGGTGAGATGATGTTTTCTGATTCAAATTAAAAGCAAATTATGAGGGAATGAGCTGCCAAGTATGGCCAATGTTTGGTAGTGCATTGTTAGGCAGAGGACAACTTAGTTCAAAGTGTGCACCTCAGCATTCAATGTGTGTTGTTCATAGCCTTCACACTATCACAAGGAGAAAGTTGAATTGTTCCAGACTTGTCCCAAATGTTTAGGTGGAGGAAGAGGGAAAAGTAGAGGAACAGGAAATTATCACCAGCCTTCAAGAGGAAGAATATGATGGAAAAATTCAACTGGACCATTCTGTGGAGGATGATGATGAGGATAATGATACTGTCACATATTTGCACAGCTCATAAAGGGAAAACTGTGCAAGTAAATTTAATTGAAGTCCACACACCAACAGTGAACTAAAGCAAAGCAATCTGCTTGACAATATGGGACTAGATGTAGTTTCTGCAACCTTAACAACTTTTTGTACAACTTGTGAAACACTGAACTTTGGTTCTTGACCACGTGACGTACATGTAACCCACCCCTGATTACTCATCCAACATGCTAACAGACCCCCTAAGGATTTGAATCTTTCCCATTTTTACGTACCGTTACTCTTTCTAGGGACAAATGAAAATGTACATTTCTTGGCTAAAAATGTTTCCCCCCCCCCCCCAAAAAAAAAAAAATAAATGACACTTGTCTGTCTTGTTCCCAGTGAATACTTTTTATTGCAAATATCTCCAACAGTTGAAGTTTGTAATATAGTTGCAAGATGTGTTCAAGATAATCTTTTTTACTAATACTATTTTTTAATATTTTGAGTCTGACATCTTACAGAATAATATAACCATCCTATTATTACTAGAAATTAAGAATGTGATGATAAACTTGGAAGAAAAGGGTGTAGTAACTGTGCAAAACACAACCCAGGTTAATGAAGAGTTGACCAGTACCTGGAGCCAGCATATTACAGTGGTTTGTATTTGGGTGAGGTACTGCATTGCCTTGTCCCTAAAGACTAAGCCCCATAATTTATAACTCAGTCTAGACTTTTTAAGTATACTGAAGAAAGGACTCTTTGTCAACTACTACTAAGTTCTTCAACAAGTTAAAATTTACCTTGTTTTTTTCCATTTTTCCCGAAATCATTGTAAAATAGACACAACTCCCAATCACTATTAGTTATCATTTTATTTCCTTGTAGGCCTCTCATCTAAGTGTTCAGGCATTTCTACTTTGTTTAAAATTATGGATCACAGCCATGTTTTCTGTAAAATATATCACTGGTACCCAGTGAATCCCCACCACAACAATATTTCAACCTAATACAGAAATAATTTTGACCAAACTCTTAAACTTGAAACCAACTTACAAAATTTGTTGTATCACATTTCTGGAATCTCACATACTTTTGCAAGCAAATTTGATCTTCTGAAGTTATATGAAATTTACTCATTTTGGTGCATACAAAGTGTCAATTTATTACTCTTGCATACTAACCTCAAACAAAACATAACATAAGCTTAACAATCAATTTGAATGAAGACATATAATCCCTCAACAACTTTTCTTAAAATGACACCCAGAAAAGAGCAGATACCAAATCTAATAAACTTGCGATATGCATACTCAGTCACATTTCAACATACTTCTGACCAGTAACTATTACTGAACAACTCATTTCAAATTTAATTTTTGGACTAAATTAGCCTTAAGGTGATTTCTGTTTTCTTTGTTTACTTTGCAGAAAAAAAAGCCAGCTCAGTGTAAAACCCCTGATCATATCCTGTAAGCTCATAACTCTCCACATCTCTGATCCATAGGGTTAGTCCCATATCTTTCCATGATGAGGGCACCAAACAACAAAGTCATATCTATATATATTATCTAGATTTATATTTATTGATATATACATGTGTGTTGATGGAATCTAATAGACATCCTGTCATTGGCCTTGTACTCTCTCTGTTGCTTTGACAAATGCAATTGCAGCTAATTCCTGTTTCAAATAGTAGAACTAATTTATTATGATGATGGCTGAAACAGTACTCATTTTATCTATAACTACTGATTTGTAAGGAAGTTTTCATCTGTGGGACACTTGGTGGCACCTCATGCCACTTTTGTTTTTGTTAACATCATTTGTGATTTCTTTCTGAGGACCTTTTCTGATTACCAAAGGAATGTGAGCTTGTAAGAAGGAAGAATTGCTAACTGGTCTTGGGAGTACAAGGGTAAATATCTCACTCATTTTGTACTGCTTCACATAAATCATATTAAAGGAAGTTCAAAATAATCGAAAGCATACCATATTAATGCTAAGAATGTGCACCCACTCTTTATTGTCCCGATCTCTTTCCATACTCAACAAACAATGCTACAACAAATATATATGAAATACATATGTATGAACTGCGGTTATGAAGCGTATATGTGCACGATCCTTCGCAGTAAAGCACTATTTAAGCAATAGTGAAAATCAGACCTGAAAAAAATTCAGGCCTGTACGGGATTCGAACCACTGACCTCTGCGATACTAGTGCAGCGCTCTACCAATTGAGCTAACAAGCCAACTGGGAGCAGGCCATCAAATTAATTCGACATAAACCCGTAGATGATAAATCAAACAACAAATATATATGAAATACATATATATGAACTGCGGTTATGAAACGTATATGTGCACATAGATCAGGTCAGTGGTTCGAATCCCGTACAGGCCTGAATTTTTTTCAGGTCTGATTTTCACTATTGCTTAAATAGTGCTTTACTGCGAAGGATCGTGCATATATACGAAACAATGCTACATTAATGAAAGTTCCTAAATACATAGGAGATCTCACCTTGCAAAATTCCTCCAGTACTATTGCAGCTTCAAGGAGGTTGCTTTCACTAAGACTAAGAGAAACAGGTTGTATGTTGAATTAACCATCAACCCTAATGGTTCAGTAAATTTATTTGTCAACATTGATGATTGAGACTACACTGTATGTAAAGAGTGTCAAGAGAAGCAGTTATTGATTCTGTTTAAACAAACACAGTCACAGCTAGCACTTGGCTCTTTAAATGCACATGTTAACTTTCTGTTTCATTCATACTTGTCGTGCTTAGAAAATAATTAGTTATTTTGGCTGCCAGTATAACATACTTCTATCCTGTAAAAGTTAACCCCTTACACTCCCACATCAGTATCTATAGTCTCTGTGCTGCTTCTTAAACATTTCTTAAAGTATTGACAAAGAGAGTTTGTTGGCCAGTTGCAAGCTTCTTTAGTTTGTGATCATTTTCGCTATTTTCATGACCTTTAATGTTTGATTCAGCAGAGATAAGGTGAGGAGAAATTAAATTCCAGTCACTCTTAAGGATTACTTTGTATAGGCTGTGTACCTTTTATGCTCAGGTGATGTGGCAAGGCCCATCAGTTGTCTTCTAACAGAAACAACATTTCTCTGAAAGTTGGGTAATCTTTGTACTCTACCTCTCAGATCTTGAACAACCTGCAAATAATACATATTAATTATCATATGGCTGTGTCTCACAACTGAGACACAGCCATATGATAACTGACTCACAACATTACTGAGTTCACCAATTTGATTGGCTGAAATAAATATTGAAAGCGGTCTAGATTTTCCTATCTAGACTGCCATCTAGACCGATCTAGAAAAAAAAGGTACAAAGAGCATAAAAAATTGGCATATAAGACACAGCCATATAATAAACATCTTATTAGCTAGGTCAGTCTGTATGGGAGAATCTTGACCTCGGTCGCTGGTACAGACCTCACTTGTGTTCGGTCTGTACTGGTGACCTCGGTCAAGAGTCTCCCATACAGACCTCCCACTCGGTTATAAGAACTAAGTACAAAAAATATTTTTAAAAAAACAAAACAAAACAAACAAACAAACAACTTGATTTCTCCTCTTACAAAATGTAACTTCTCCAATTAGAGAAACATCTTTCTAACAAAAATCTTTGTTTGGTAAATCAAGAGGCAAGACAAGCCAACAATTACAAATAAAGAAAAATGAGAAGGTAAAAGACTTAACTCACATTTTGCTGACTTTAAGACATAGCTCAAGTCAAAATACTGTTTGATTGATCACAAAGTTTCACAGAACATAATGTAAATTTCTTTTACTGTCTGGTACTTACATTTTGAAGAGTTGAATGAAGAGAATGGCAGTTTGGTGTCAGGGTGAGGGAAGCATTCAGGAGAAATTCTTGCAGTTGAGGATGATTAAACTGTGATAACAATGCTATTACACTTGTAACCTGAAGGTTCACATCATATGGCTGTCAAAAAAAAAGAAGCCAAATGTTATTTTCTACCAGTCAAAAAACCTACTTCCAAATAATAATCTACACATAATTTTTCAGTGGCCACAAACTTATGCATTGCAATCACTGTAAAAGCTACAAGCTAATAAAAGTGTTCTTCTTTTCCCTTCCTTACCCAGAGTGTGTGGTCAGGGAGTGGGACTCCATTTAAATTTTGGGACACATTATGATGTTCTATTAATTAACATAAATTATAAATTTTTCTTGGCAAAGAAGAGTCAGATGGGTAATATCCTTAATACCTCCTTGCTGCATGTATTCTTTGTTACACAAACCACTTCACCTTACATCCAATATCAGACTCCAATAGATCTGCTACACACTGACCATAAATATCTTCCAACTCTGTTCATTGCCTTAATGTACTTATAAATAATATAATCCTGATAAGCCTGATCAAATGCAATACCTGGTCTAGGAGTCTCTGCAGTTTCTTGAAGAGCATACTCAAGAATGCCCCTTCATAAAAGTTCTCTCTACTATCTTCCACATCTTGAAAGGAAAATGAAAACTTCTAAATAAAATCTCAATTACTTTACAACAGAAAAGTTCATTGCACACTGATTCCTAACAGATAATAGCCAATGAGGATGAGCTTGAGCATGATAATTTTATCATGAATTAACATAGTAAGTCTGATGTAAAACAATCTCATGTACATGTGCACATAATTTCTGTATAGGTTGAGATAACTTGAGCAATTATTTTACCATGAGGGGGCACTGGGGTTGAGGGCCAGCCAAATGCACCTGTCTGTAAAGCACGCTGATTACACTGCCAAAAAAAAAAGGAAAAATTTTCCAGATAAGTAAATATTAATTAAGAATACAAAATACAAAAGAATTAACTTCAACTATTTACCTGTCTATGGGCATCTCTCAAATATGTGTCATAGCCTGCATCACCAATTAGTGCTGATGTTTTTATTTCATCGGGAACTAGGGAGATAAAACTGTTAAGAGGCCATTAATATAGACAAAAATGGTGTGAAAATCTGTACATAATTTTTGTTGTGTGGTATATTCATACACCACTATCACAGAACGCACTCAGCAAACCGCCTCCCGGTTAGCTCAATTGGTAGAGTGCCGGACTGTTGTGCGGGAGGTCGTGAGTTCAAATCTGGCCGGACCAACACTCAGGGTCTTTAATTACCTGAGAAGAAAGTGCTGCCTTTGTAACAATATCTGCAAATGGTTAGACTTTCTAGTCTTCTCGGATAGGGACGATAAATGGAGGTCCCGTCTCCTGCAGGGTTGGGGTAGGAGACGTTAATTTCCCACACACGAGATTACTGTGTGATGGATGTCCTCCCCGGGGTGGGATGGGTGGGTAATAAAGGGGTTAGGTGTCAATTGGAAAGAAAGTTCTGTTCCTTTCTCCTGCCACTCCTGTGGCGAATAAATTAAACTAGACTAAAACTAAAGTAAACAATTAATCTCATTCCATAGAAATACAGGTTGTACATGTTCATCAATCTTTACCCATTGGTCATTTATCTAATAGAGACTTTAATTTTGAAATACAGCTGAGTTCAAGTGATGATTTAAGAGAAGTCGAATTTTGAAAGAAATCATTTTTCAAAATTTAGTAATTAATCTCTATGGCAGGATCTTCCATTTCAAAAAAGCCATTGGCCATCCATGTTAATTATTTACTGGAAGGATGACTGCATAATTAAATGATCCCTGTGAGTAATTTTAATACTGAGAGGAGGGAGAATGGAGGCTGTGCTTATTTCACATCTTCTCCAGGAGGTGATCTTCTTAAGGGTGCACATGTAGAACCCATCAGCAAGAGGACAAATCTTCACTCTTCATTTGATCTATGGGTTATAAAAATTGATTTTATTTACCGTACCTATTTACAACTTGTTCCACTTCTTCTCTGTCAATATCATTACCAATCTGAACCGGTCCTAACCCATCTGGAGTAAGTGGGGGAGTGGAGGGTGAGGTTGGTGATGGTGGAAGTTTTTTAACAGGTGCTGTTGCTGGTGAAACTGTTGTTAGGTTTTCTGCCGCTGGTACATGACTTGCTGTATCACCATTGGTAACTGTGGGTGCTGCATAATACTTTCTGCTTTTCAGGTTCCGAAGTACAAGATTATTTAAGATCATGTCACAGGGTTTGTTGAGTAATGTCTCAAACAATTTTAGTGTTTCTATACTGACCTGAAAATAGATAATGGAACAAGAAGGGAGTTACCAGCTTCAACAACTTGCTGGGTTACCAGAAGCAACCAGAAAACTTTAAATTTCAAACTTGTCATTCAAAAAATGTTATTAATTATCCACATGCCTCATCAGATAAGTGATCACATCTATCAATAAGAGTCTGTCGTATTTTATGATCTCCAGCATGAGATGCAGTTTCTGGTGTTATTTCCTCTCCAAGTAAAAATATACACATTTCTGTAGCAAAATGAAAGGAGAAAAACACTGATTAAAATTCATTTAATTAGTTAATTAACCCAAAACACTCCCTACACTTCCTGCATAACTGTCAGTTTCTCCAATGCTATAAAGATTACACCCACTACTCTAAAGAACAGGTATGAGGACATACCTCGTAAGAGTTGAGGTGAAGTGAGAGCTTTCACACATCTCCTTAATACAGCTGTTGTAGTAATAATACCAAGCTCTGATCTAAGGATGAAATAAAATATAAAGATTTAGCTAAGCCAGCAAGTGAAGCTCCAGATGTTTTTTCACTGCACATCTGATCTTCATGTACATATACATGCATTACTGTTGCACAATGCTGTATGAAGTTAAGTCCTATAACAATATAATGCTGTATATACCATAAAAAGCCCATGGATATATAAGCTGCATGGTCCACAGATAAGCCGCACCCCAAATTTAGCAGCTCAAATTTTGGAAATTTACTATTAGGGTGGCCAAACACAGTTTTCACGTGCGCTTTACTGATGTAATTCAGCAGACGCACAAATATTGCAAAAAACAAACAAGCCGTCATTTTATTTACTCAAAACGTACCCGCACTATTTGTGATATTTTTCTCTATGGTTGATGCAGTGTATTGATGGATTTAATCTTTTTATTACAAAGATATGATTGTTAGAAAAGGTAATGGTGCAAAGAACCCAGCAATTCTCAACTTTTTCATTGTTACCGAAAGAACCCAGTTAAAGGCAGCGCATGTGTAGTTAGTCAAAAAACTGTGACTGAATGGAAAATTGCTTTCTCACAAATACACCTATTTCTTGAGAACCACTCATAAGAATTTCACGAAATTTGGCACGAAAATACTTTAGGAAATAAGTAACTGGAGTATTGAAAGAAAATTAACTTCAACAAAAGAAATGGTGTTAACTCGTGAGTGTCGTTACAAGCTCATTTCATGCAAATTATAAAGAAAGTCTAATGACTAGATTTTCTACAAATAAACAAAACCGATTTTAAAGGCCTGTTTATATTGATTCATGTTTCCATGGCAATGGCACATACGTCAGCTGAATGATTAAAAAAACAAAATTTGTGTCATTTACTAGCTTGCTGCCATTTTTGGCGACCGAGGGATCAAGGGTTTTAGAGAAAAAGGTGAATGAAACACAGGTATCGAAAACTGTGTTCAGCCACCTTAATGTGTTTGCACAAATTAGTGACACCACCTTCAGTTGGTAAATGTAAAGGAGCAAGTTTCTCTTTTTAATATATTGATTTAAATCTGACGCACTGGGCAAATACAGTTATAGTAACTGAAATAAGTATTCAAACATTACACACATTAATTTATGTAGCCTCTATAGAATTGACACATTTTTGAAATTGTAATTATAAAATTTTCCTTCAAATTTGAACAAAAGAACTGCAATAAAACAACACTCACTGTTGAATGAGACCTGGTTCAATAACTGTCTGTAGAAATCGTTCTCTTACTCCTACTGCTAAAGCTTTGGCCACCAGCTATAAAACAGCAACAATAAAAATGCATTTTAGTACCATACTGTACAAATTATGAGAGTTCTCAACGCTTTTCAAGCCAATGATGAATCACCATGTAAATTATGAATTTTTCTTTTTGTTTCAAAACAAAAATAGATGATCTCAAATTCCAAATTCTGACACCATGCAATCATCACATGCTTATGGGTTAAAAATGTCAGCTTAAAATATACACAACAATTCATTACCACAATCTTTAAATCTGAGCTACTTGGTCTTAGCTAGTCAATCAATACATACTGTCACAAAAAGAGATTACTGAAAGTACTCCATTTGGCTTACAAACCTTATGTGCCTCTTTGGAAAGCTGGTCCACATAATCCAACCATGAAAAAAATGATATCAACCGTCTCTTGCCAGGGAATGATGAAACATCCTCATCATCACTCTGATGGTCAAGTCTGCACAAGGAAAAAAGAACTAATAATTATAACACACTATTCTAGTTAGGAGCCCTCTTACAGTCATGGAATCTGTCTATTTCAGTGGATGACCTACCCCCATTTGGCAGCAACGGCAGATATATCAAGCGGCTCCATAGTTTTTGGCAAGGCATCAAATAATACTTTCAATCTGTCTGCCTGGAAAGGGTTAAGAAATATCATGTTTACCATTTGGTGAAGAACAAAAGATGTACTGTGGCACAACATGTACTGTTGTAATTGAAAGTCTGTTATAAACTAACCATAACTTCGCAGAATGGAGTGTACAGGATAATTACAGTAGCTGCATGATCCTCAGGAAGGGAGGCACATAGCATTAAACCCTCACATGCCTTCACTGCTATTCTGCTATCCTGCAATGCAACACACAGTGATAATGCTTTGTTATAAATATGCGCTGCAAATAGCTTTTGCAAAAAAGATGGGCACTGAACAGAACACAGTAGAGTTGCTGTGAAGCTTTCTTGCAAATCTGTCTACAACTTTGAGTCATATACAAGGAATCTGTTTCTTTTTATCAGAACAATGTACAGTACTTAATATTCAAGTTTTTCTGCTTGAAAAGGGAATCAGAGAGGAGAATGCAAGTTAATTTAAAATTATATTTACAATAAAAGAAGTTTAAAGTGCACCTAAACCCAAAAATTTTTTTTCGCTTAACGAAATAAGCTTATTTTTTGGAGTATTTCTGGCAAAAATTTTTTAATTTGCTTAAATCTTAAATTTTCTTTGCCTAGTCAAAATACAGAAAATCGGCCGCCATCTTGCCCCATGACCGAGTTTAATGAGGAATGGCTCTAGCGGGTAATGTGACGTCAAATCGAGAACACGAAAGTCTGCATTTCACACATTTTCACTTGTTTGGGAAAGTTGTAGTCGATATTGTCCGAAGATATGCCGAAGAATGTAGAAGGATGTAACGACGTGCAAAATTTGCAAGAGGGTATCGCGCTTCATACATTCTTCGCACAACACACCTAGTCGGCATATTTCGGACAATATCGACGACAACCTTCCCAAACAAGTGAAAATGTGTGAAATGCAGACTTTCGTGTTCTCGATTTGACGTCACATTACCCGCTAGAGCCATTCCTCTTTAAACTCGGCTGTGGGGCAAGATGGCGGCCGATTTTCCATATTTTGACTGGGCACAGACAATTGAAGATTTGAGCAAATAAAAAAATGTTTGCACAGAAATACTCCAAAAAATACGCTTATTTCGTTAAGCGAAAAAACATTTTTGGGTTAAGGTGCACTTTAAAAGTTTGACAATTACCTCACTCTTTGACAAGTTAAGTAGAGAATTAACCAGTGTATAATCTGGCTTATCGCGTCCTTGGGCCTTCACAGGACCAGAAATGGAATCTAATTCTGCTGTTGATGCTGGAGTTGTAGCTAGTGCCTTGAAAGAGTCAAACAATAGGCTTGTAGTTATATGTTTCTACTTTAAATCACATTTACACCGGGAAACTACTTTAATTACTTTATTAATGAGAGATTCCACACACAGGAACAAACTTCATCACAGGTACTCAGAATACCTAGTATTTAAGCAACAGTAGGATACAACATGACAAACAGTATTGTTACTTGTTGTATTTTTCTCACATCCTAAATCGTGATAACAATCAAATCTGCTGTTTCACAGAGACCTGTGACTTGAAAAACAATGTTCAGTGTAAATGTACCTTAAGGTCACAAATATCTTGTGTCCCAAACACTGATTTATAAGACCAGTGTGATATGATTATCACTGCAATATAACATGATCCCTTGGCTCAAAATACTCTAACAAACATCATCTTTTCAATAATAAAAATACATTTTAATTAATGTTGAAAGTTTAAAAAGGTATTAGTTGAGGGTTACTTTGTCGATAAGCAGTAATATAATGAAGTATTTAATACAATTTGATAATATGGGATGCTTAGTAGACGTGACTCTTGATTTATAAATTTGCATTTTATTTCTTCAGCAGATGTTTCATTGGTGGGGTTATCTCCAGTAGCTTGTTAGAAAGGTGACTGAGTTTATAACAAGCAGTTGTATCATTTACCTTATGAAATATGCATACTAATGCATTTAAAGATGATAGACCAAGCAGTTAGTATGTGTGCAAGTAAGAAAGAAGTGAAGGATAAACCAGTGATATACCATATTATTGGTGTCTCAGAATAAAGAGAAAGACATTCCTACCGGCTCAGCAGCCTGAGAAGACAAAAGAGGTGTAGGAGTAGAGTTTGTCTGGGAACAGGAAAAGACAAGTTAAAAATACATGTATTGGTCATTGATTGAAGTGGAATGCAATACAATGACACAGTAACATATTTGCCAGGTTTGCAAAATTGCACCTGGCTACTGTTGGGCCTTCTTGACTAATCAAGCTTGGTAAAAAGGAGGCAAAAAGTTTACACCTGCCAAAGAATTTAAAAAGTATCACAATGCAAGATTTGTTTAATCTTGCCTGCTCAGGGAGCCAGCCAAAGAAAGTAATATACCAGTACATGTATTAACACCTTTTATAACAGGTTATCAAAACTATTTCAAAGGTTAGAAGAAATGTTGTCTCTGCTTGAAAGAGACACAACTCTAACATCTTGTAAGTTCAGCCTTCTTCCCTTCCCATTGGAAGTCTTTCAGAGAAAGTCTCCTAAGTCAAGGAAAAATCTTTCTTTGACCTCTAGTAAAACAAAGCTCTAGGCACTTTAATATTAAAAGCAATTTATCAATGACGAGAACTTACAGGGATCTACATTATGATTTAATTGTACAAATATTTATAACTTCCCAGTGTAGATGAACTAAGGATTATTTGTTCAATAACCTGATGGCATTGCTCTTTATATGTACAGCTGTACTTCAATGGTAAAACAGTGACTAAGGTAAAAGGAATTCTTAGTTAAAGTGTGGAGATAAGTGAAAAAAAAAACATTTACCACAGAGTTAAATCAGATGAAAGAAAAATTATCAGCAAGAGCAACTCAATTCACAAATAAATCAAATTTACAAACTTGAACTTAAAAAATTTAACTTTTAAACTAATCTGTCTCTAAATGTAAACCAAAATTTGGTCATTTATTTAGTAGTAAATTAACTACAATTTATTATGAGGTGATTGCCTTATAGTGAATCCACATACAGTCAAAAGTGTCTTAAACAGTCACCCATGGGGATTGGTGGGGTGACCACTTTATACAGGTTGACCACTTAAGACAGGTCCCACTGATTAGGGGAATTATAAAAAACGATACACAATGCCACTTTATGCCATAATTGACCAATTAATACACAGAATCTCCCTAAAATCTACTACTTACTTTGACTTTAGGAGAGAATCATTTGAAAGATTATTCTTAGTTTTATTTGGGTGGTTATGCTTTAAGTGACTGTTCAGTACAGGAAGAGAATATAAAGAGGCCATTGGGACTCAGTTAAGGGTGACTGCGACCACTAAATAAAGGTGAAAATTACAGTGACTTAGGGGCTGGTCATTATTTATCGGGAGGAAGGCGCTGGTGCAAATAAGGGAGGGGGGCCACCATTTTTTATGCATGGCTTAATGGGGGGGCCATTAAAAAATATGCAAACATTTTGCCAGGAAAAATGTTAAAAGCTGCATCTGGATGCCATCAACAAATACAGCCTATTAAAATAGCTTTATACATAACCACCATAACCTTGGAAAATATGGAACAAAAAAGGCAAAGCTGGAAGCAATTAAAGAAAGTATCATCCAAGAACTTGCTAAACGCCTTGAGAGAGAGAGGAAGATGGGAAGAGCGACAATCGGTCGTCTTCTGATTCACTCAGTAGTGAATCAGAAGATGACTCAGAGGAAGAAGACTGTGTCCTTGCAGAGATTGGTATTTCAAACTCTGAAGGGAAAGAGGAGTCGACTGAAGAAGAAGAAATGATTGAGAGCACCGAGAACTTTAATGTCAATACGACCATTGTCTGTCAACACATGGTCTGGGTGAAGAGCAACTCAAATCCAAATTTAAGGTAGCTTTAAATAGAATGTCTATCAGTTGGACATGGTGACTTGACAAATAGATACTTGTTGTTTCATGCATGCCCGAGGACAAAGGGGGGATGGGAGAGGGGGTTCAGCAAAAATCATGTTAAAGTAAAAGGGGGGGTTAGCAAAAATTAAGCGTGGCATATTTTACATTGCACCAGCACCCCCCCCCCCCCCCCCCCCCCCCGATAAATAATGACCAGTCCCTTGGCGGAAACAAATTCAGGACTTAGACAACCAACCGCTTAATACAGGATGATCGCTTAACATAGTGCTGCATAATACAGGTTCAACTGTATGATACAATTCGATACCAATGCCTACTAAAGTAATGAAAGGTATGGATTAGGAAGTGAGATTGTTTTCTAACTCACCTCAAGAAAGAAGTTCACTAAGTATGGATCTTGTCGTAACTTTGCACAAACAACACATAGGAAATGGATTTCTTCGTTTTCAGATGGTGCAGCTTTTACCTCACCACAGAGTCTGATTAGTCTCTGAATTAAATGCAAAAAATTAAAGAGAATTGAAAACAAATATGAAAATCTAAAGAAGAGATCTAACTATTCTGTCTCACAAATCTTTGAAAAAATATCATGTTAAAAAAGAAATTGGAAATAAATATAACTGATAATTCCTCAATATGATAACAATCATTAACAAATTAGCAGTAAACGTTTGCTTAAAAGATACACTTACATAATTATTATTCCGCTGATACTACTGGGTTGTATATAAAAAATCCACTAAATCTGTAAGGGAGAACTGAACTTACATGAACTGGACGATAGACATTTATGTGTGGTAGAAGAGGTTGTTTCATCTTGGCCAGTAGGTTTGCAAAAAATAGCAGTACTTTTTGTTTCATCCCAGGTGGACACTAAAACACAAAAGGATTGAAGAAGATTTGGTTTGCAGATAGAAATAATCAAAGAAGATGTAAAAACTTGCAGCAAAAAATGTACTTGTCAGGAAGGTCACAAGTAACATTGTTTTCAAATGTTTTGCATTTAATTCAGAGACTAATCAGACTCTGTGGTGAGGTAAAAAAGATATTCCAGACAAGGTCCCTTAAAAAGGTAAAAAAGTAGAAATGTCACCAAGGTGAAGAAATATCTGCCTCTCAGAAAAGAATACATTTAGAATCTATGGCACGTCATGAGCCAAACTTGAGTTAAGTCAAAGCAAAAAGTAAAAATCTGAAGAAACAGAGTAAAAGAAAATACACTGTCCAAGAATTATCTTAGAAAGTGTAAAATAATGAGACACATGTTACAGTTTCCATGCATTGAGTTCATTATGTAACCTACTACAAACATCTTATGACATATATCATCATGATTTTTGGATAAAACTGAAAAGCTCCATAGTTGTCTTGACTGAAAAGTGATCAGTCAGTTGAATGTTTTCAGCTTGGTTTTTTAATATTGATTTGTCAGTTTTGTTAGTACTTCATTAGCTCTAAGACTCAAACTTAAACAATCTGATATGATTGGTTTATTGAGATGTCCAAGAATTAAGATTGACATCAGTTGTTTGTGAGATATGAGTAATCACTGAGGTCTCAGTCTCAGATAACCTCAAAGATATCTCAATTAAAAACCTACATCTGCTCTTCCCAGAGTGTGAAGAGTGTCCAATATTTTATGCTGCAAAAGATATTCCAGACAAGGTCCCTTAAAAAGGTAAAAAAGTAGAAATGTCACCAAGGTGAAGAAATATCTGCCTCTCAGAAAAGAATACATTTAGAATCTATGGCATGTCATGAGCCAAACTTGAGTTAAGTCAATGCAAAAAGTAAAAATCTGAAGAAACAGAGTAAAAGAAAATACACTGCCAGCTGTACTCAATTACACAACAGAGAACTTTTACCCCAGAACCAAAAGAACCTAACAGAGCCCTTATGCACCAAAGTGTAAACATGTTTCTTTCATTTGAGTCTTTCCCTATCCATATTTTAAATGTTCTGTGTTCCAACAAAAGCATCCATTCGAATAAATTAAAATAATCATCTCAAACATAAAAATTTCTACCGTTGTTCCTCCGCTGGAGGGGTCATCCTCCTCATGCTTGATAATATCTAACATTTGTTCCAAATGATATGGGATATTTGTGGATTGAACTGGAACCTTCTCATCTGCCAATCGTAAAAAAAAATACTTGTGATAATTTATCAAACAAAAATTTACATGTAAGCAAATAAAATAATAATCTTTAAAATATGCACGTTGGATTGCATACAATCAAACAGAAACATTGATTTCGTGGCTTACCTGTGGCTTCTATGAAATAACTTGTGACGGCCTTCCAGTGGAAAACAAAGGTTTCTTGAGGAGGGACGTCGGGAGCAAGCTAAAAATTACAAGTCAAATGGTGAGACTTTAAATTAAACGTGAGTGGGATCTCAGATGTTTGCAAGCTCCGAAATTCGCTCAAAATTTCTTTTCTGTGCTGGACACCAGATTGATCCACAAATCGTACAACAAGGGGCATTCTATGAGCATCGAAATCACATACTTACAGCCTCAACTGCCTCATGGATGAAGGATCTTATTTTATGAAACATTTTGTGGTAGATTCCTGGTCGATTTCCTACGCCATTTTGAATTTCGTTCAGCTGAGGTGTAACTCGATATGCGCATGCTTATTGGTCTCCCACAACGCTACAGAAATTTCATAGGGCTGCAATACGTGCAAAACAACTTACACACAAATCTGTTTACTTTAAAGCAGAAATGAAATACTGGAAATTTGAGTCGAGGGCTTTCTACCACCAAGATTTAAGAATAAAGTCTAACAGCTGGTGATGATGGTACCCTATAGATAATTTTATGTGGAAAATCAAGATTAATAACTATGGCAGTTGATGATTTCTAATTATCATGGCCGCTCTGTTTAACAGTGCCTTGAAATTATAAAGATAACTTGAGAAGTGACCATTATCATAACGTCATACCTTCAGCCACAGCTTGGAAGAATAAACCCTGCCTTTTTTTTTTGTTTTTTTGTTTTGTTTTTTTTGTTTGTTTGTTTGTTTGTTTTTTTTTAATTTTTTTTTATTTTTTTAATTTTTTTTTTTTTAATCTTTGTTTTTCATCGGATGAAAAGTGGCTGCGTCAATTTGAACATTCCATACGCTGCCAGTGCATCCACCACCAACACACAGCCAATCTTGACATAGTGACAAACTCGACCAGTTATTGTATATTGTGAAGTTCTCCTTGTGTCTTCAAGCATAATAGGCAACCTTTCCTCGTCCAAGTTTGGCTTCTCTTTGATTTCTTCTCTCTTCAACTTATGATTCACTTCTTGGAACGAAGAATAGAACTTTAATTTAATGTCACGGTCCCTTTTGACTATCTGTTTGTCTGCTTCAGCTTTCAAATGAAATCGTTTTATATCCTCTTTGGCTTGCAAGCACATTTCCTCCACCCTTTCCACTTCATCGAAATATTCATCAGCGCGTTTCTCGAGCTCGCAAAATTGTCTCTTCAGTTTTTCGAGAGTCCTTTTCTCAGGAGATTCCATTCTCTTTTCAGTCGCAGTCGAGGCCATTTTTCAACTGTTTCTAGAACTGCTACAGAAACGTCTATTTTTCCCACTACTTGCCGCTCAAAAGTCAACTGAGGAAAGTTGTCTACACTACGAAGAATTTTGGCAATTTGAAGTAACAATTGACTTGTGTTCTTAATTGACTAGGCGCGCGCACTTTGATACAGGCAATTTTTTTCCTGGGTAAGTTTTAGAGGCATGATCGAAGAAAGTTTCCAAATCTGCTAAAGTGAGGAAGCTCTCAATAGACTGTCAGTCAATTAGTCTGTATTTTTTTTTTGCCTTATAGCTTATTCTCTATTGCACGGAACACCGATACGTTTAACGAGTGGATACGCGTGCGGTATGGGTGACGAGGGTTTTCTCGTACATAGGTCCTCAAAAAATGAAATAGTCAATTTTACAGAAGTGGTTGAAATGTCTTTGGCGTGGAGCACTGTATAGGAAATTTTACCTAATAATTGTAAGAAGGACTCGTTGAGTATATTGGAAAGAGGAGGGAGGGGTGAAGCAACAGCCAAATGTGATCAGAGGGAACATCTGATAGCTATAAGTCCCCTTGTTTCGATTCGCGAACAGCTTAAAGAAAGTGGCTCAAATCATCAAGGACCAGCAAGGGATAATCAAGCCATCACAATGAATCGACATAGGAGCCGTATCCCGACGTCAATCCAGTTAAAGATAGTTAAATATCACCTTTATTTTCAAGAGGATCTGAAAATAACAATTATTTATCGGTGACGTCATTGAGATCGTCTTTCCCACTTGGACATCCACCTCGTTCCTCAGTGGATCCGAAATGTTCCGATCACATGCGAGTCGCATTTTCATGCCACTCTAATCCCGAAGGAACTGCTACCTTGAGACTAAAAATAACATGATAAAGATTCCCTTTGGAATGGGTGAGGCTTTTAAGGGGGTCTCTTTACCTGATCAGCTCTTGATAACAACTGAAAGCATGACAACGCGGAAAGGGTCTGTTTCATGATGCATTGATGGAACAGAATTTGTGACAGATAACACAAAACTTAATCCAGTAGGCACAAACATTTTGCAACTCCAATTTCAAGAAGTTTTACAAAGGGTTTTTCATATTTCAGAGAAAATTTACCTTCTTACCACTTAGTAACCTCTTTTTCTCGGTCCGACCGAGTTGTTCTCGCTCGGATTTATGACCCGCTCGCCTCGCACTTGAGTCATAAATCCGAGCGAAAAAAAAACAGGTTCCGTAACTTACAGTGCGGACTGAGAAAAACGAAGTTCGTACGATGACGACTTCCGCTCCGGATGTCGTAACGCCAGTCACCACCACAGACAACAGTCCTTCTAAGGACTGCATCCACTCTGACTATCAGACTACACTATCACCGTGATACCGGTAGTTTTTTATATCTCTGTGTTCAAATAAAGAGGGACTGAAGATCTCAGTTCAAACAAACTTTTGAAGAAGAGGGTCATACAGTGAAATACAGCTCGCTGAATTGATCGACCATAGTGCACATACTAACTGAGAGGTATCATATTTTCAAGTATGTTCAGCTCACCATCAATTTGATATCAATAGAAGAGTCTCTTCCTGTATAGTCTTTCTGACATCATTATGACGTACTACAGTGACCCACAGAAGTTTATCACCGAGTGTGGGTTTGCATTACCTCCAATTGTCATCAATTCCGATTTTACTTCGTGATTGCGAAATTAATTCCTTTTTTTTTTGGACTTTCTATTTCTTGCGCTATATTTTTTGCAGATTAGACTTCAGATTCCTCCTCATGGTTTAAGAACAATTTCGCAGAATCCTTGTCTCCCACGGATTTCTTCAACAAGTCCTGAAGGCACTCGATCACTTTTACGCGACGCAATATCTCTTTTTCATCACAAACTCCTTGCTCCTCCAGTCTGCTCAGTTCTTCAGCTTTTTTGACGATCAACTTAGTTAAAGTTTCGGCCGGATTATTTTTTGCCTCGACAGATGATGTATTTTCCAATTGTTGCTCATCTTTCTTCACAAGCTCTCCTTGACTTTGACTCTTCATGCCAGCGTTATTTGTGCGCCCGTGTTCATCATCGTTGATTTTTTCAGCAGCATTTGACTTTGATGTGTCTCCTTGGTAACCAGTATCACGTATCGTCTTACATTCCCACGTCTTCGTATACGCTCTGACCAATGATATGTCCTCTATTTCATCGTAATCGTTAATAGATTTAAACAATCCTTTTAACCTTTTTAACTGACTGTTCTCTATATAGTTTATGTTTAAATTCCATTGTATTTCCGCTATAGTAGGCTCTTCGATTTCTGGTTCTTCTCGGATTGGTGGTCCTTTGAACCCGGTAAAAATCAGAACTCTGTCCAAAATTATGTTAAAAAAAGAATCTTCGTTTTTCTTGAGCTCCTCGTCGCTGCAGACATTTTGGTGCACACCATTGATGACCGTTATAACAATGTTTGTAAATATGAAAATCATACTCGCAGAAAAAGTCGTGAAGAAAAAATAACCCACAGTTTTGTAATCAGACTGTGAAGTAAAATCAGTATGATCAAAAACTCCCATCACAAGACATGACAAAGAGGCCAGGGTTGCAGAAAAAGACCTGTAGTTTTCCACGTAAGGAGCGAAAACTGTGAATGCCATTGAAGAATACGCCATGTATATAGCAAACAGCATGACGGCGAAGGATTGAAGCTCAACCACAGACTTTGCAATAGTGGTTGATAAAAGTTGAACAACGCGCGTGAAACTTAAGAAATGGATGAACTTCAGTATGGCGACAAAGTCCGCAAACGCGTACAAGATGACGAGTGCTTCGTTATACGAGGCACACTCGGAGAAGTTCATGAACCATTCTTGATCTCTTGTAAGGGTAGCCACGGCACTTCTGAGCTTGCTCTCTCGGACAACATACACGACTTCGATAGCAATACCGTCCACAAATAGAATAATATCCAGCTGACTCACTGTTTCACAGAAGTACTTCTTCCTCCGCTGGTAAATGCCTTTGATGATCGTGTATAGAGTGTAAAGGATAATCAAGAAGAACAACAACTCACAAACTGAGTTAAAGACGTAGGAAGGATTCAGCCGGGCAAATAGTCTGAAGATTTTAAAATCAACTCGCGGTATAAAAGCATTTCCAGACGTTACCTCCACACCAGTCTCTATGACTCCGATGAGGTTGGTGTTAGGATTGTATATGGCTCCTTCAATAAAGACAGCTCTGGTGTATTTGTCAATCCAATGGGTAGACTTGAGATAATTCACGAAGGCTGTTGCTTCCTCCAAGGAATCGCCAAACTCCGCCACGTAACCACCGCCAGGGTAAAACGCGATTCTACCGTAAAACATGAATGAAGAGTTCGATTCCGTGGGGTCCAAATAAGCCCACGGGGAAAGTTGCCCCGATGCACTTCTTTTGTACACTAAAGTGTCTTCTGCGGGTTGATAACCAGCGCGCCATCCGGGACTGAAAATCCGGGTATCCTCATGCTTTTTATCAAAAGGAGGATTGCACTCGTGGATAACTTCTTTCAGAAGTTTTGTCACTGAACAGCTACCTGTGATTTAAATAGATGGTGTCATGATTACCCATCCTAAAAAATGATTACCTTAATGATACAGGGGGGGAGGGGTTCACATGAAGAGTGTGAATAGCAACACTATAGTAAATTTGTACTATAGTGGAGTGGATTACATTTGTTTAACATTTAGTGCAGTTTTCCAGCTGAGTAACACTGGACTACTTTTCGAAACAAATAGGTTTGCCAAGTCTCACTCATTAGAACCAAAACCCGATAACACTGTGCAAAGTGAAACACAGCTTGAAATTCGCCTTACTGGTGGAAAATATGATATTCGGGACGATAAAGTGTTTAGTGAACAAGAAGGTACATCGACGCTTCCTTTGTATCTGCATAGCATGCTTTTAGAGTGCTCAATTGATAGAGAATTTTCAATTAGAGAGTAAAAACTTATCCATTATTTTTATGGTATTTCATTCTGTGATTGGTTCCCGCCTCCTTCCAAGCCAGTCAGATGCAGACAAAAATAAGATTGCGACCCATTCAATCATGTTTTACGTGACCTGACGGAAGCAGCTAACGGAGCTCTGGTTAATTCTACAATTATTTTTGTCATGATATGTCGTTGTATTTAGTGTTATGAGAATTAATCGACAAACTTCACCGTTCTGGACGCGAATTTGACGCAATCGAATCCGTCCAAGTCGACGGGACTGTCTTCCTGAAGTGTATCCAGTTCTGTTGGTCACCTTGTCTCCATTATACCAATCATGTTCGTACAAATAAGGAATTAAGGTTTTCTCCGTCCATGTCATGAATAGCTGCAAATTGTTCACCTATGGACGAACACGAACCTGACATCATTTCGATTTTTGTAACTGATTGAAAATATGTAGGTCTAGTGCGAGAGGAGAAGCAAAAAGTCGGGAAATATCTCTTCCTAAGTTTTTTCAGCCGTTTCTCCCTTCTCTAGTTGCTCTACAACTCCTTCTTCAGTTATGAATTTAGCAAATCGACGGGGGTTTAGCGTGGTCTGTACCCATATTGACAACGATATTCATCACGAAAGTGGTCAAAATGTTGTGGACTCACGAGGCGCAGCTCACTCTCGGTTATTACGAAGTTATTATTACAAGGTGGACTCTGCAATTAAGCAGACAAGTCGTCAAAGCGGTTTTGGAAAGAAGGAAAGCTTTCAAAACTGTTTTTGAAACTGGGAAATACAAGAACAGTAATGACCTAAGCCATAAGTAGGTCAGTCTTTGGTACTGCTCAATTTGCCCACAGGAATGTTTGTTAGTTATTTAGTCCTCTTCGTGCGTCTATGTACATAAGGCCTCGGCCAGAGAACGCCATTGATTTCTGTCGGTTACCTACTGATCAAGCTGCGCCGAGGTCCAGTCTCTATTCTCAATTTCCCTTTCGATAGGAATTTGGAAATCTACCTTTGATTTTGACAATAGAAAATTAGATTACACTTGACCGGGGTCGATTATAATTGTTTAAAAGACTTACATCTGTTAATCCTTGGGGGTAAGATGCGGTAAGGGGATGTATGAATTCTTTTTCCATCGAGTTTCTCATCATGAACGACTTTGAGTCCCTGTTGCCATAACTGAGCAATACTAGGACAAGCACGACGAAAGTGTAATCTCCCAGCTTGCTGAATTTGTTTTTTAATTTTTTCTCCCTTATTCTGGTTTCTCGCAAGGCGTTTAACTTGCTTTCGTCAGGAGGTTTGTATCGTAGCAGTTCTTTTTCTCTGTCGTCGTTGTCCAAAATGTCGCCATGAAGCCACTCTTCATCTTTACCTGTGTTTCAATAAATCATAGATGCGTTTAATGAATTCTTTCTCAATCAGAGTTACATTATGTTCTACTGTAGATCAAGAAGGAAAAATACTGAAGTTTTCTCCCTCCCTCCGGTCTTTGTAAGAGGAATCTGTAACTCGCAGAGTGTTTCTTGCATATCATTATGTGTTACCAAGACATTAGTCGACCCATTCGTAAGGGTGGCAGAACACTAATGAAATTAATTAATTAATTAATTAATGCTATTTTGGAGTGGTGATACATTTTGCAGGGCTCCAACCGAAGTAGAAAGTTCAATACGATTTCGTTTCATCCAAATCTGTCTTTATTCTTCACCTGAATGAACATGTTCACCAATCTCAAAAAGTGGTTTGTAACCTTTCTCTCTGGGCTTTTCGTCGCGTATAAATAACCTATCCAAACCAATCATTTATTTTCCGTCTAATATTTTATGACTTTTCCTCTGACCTGTCAGAACCCCAACCGAGTTCAATCTTGAAGCTGAAGGGTTTTTACAGCACTTTTTAGTGCCAGTTGCATTGCTACGGAGCTTTCAGTTACATACTTCCCCACATTGGAGGGTTTCGGCTGTTTCACCGTGCCTAATGTTGCCTTTATGGCAGTTCCCTGAAGTGATACCTTGAATTTGATGGTTCATTTCACAGTTAGATAAGACAGAAGTGTCACATCTACAAATAACCCAAGTTTTTCATGCCGTTGGTGAAAAAAAGTTCTCGAGATTTTCTCTGACAATTCTCCTTGCCCACGGACGGAAATGATTGATGAAAGAAACGTCTAAGGGAACATTTGGTCAATAACGAACTCTACCAGTGTAGATGACTTAAGAAAGACACTTGCTTTGGAATTTCCACAACAGACAATTTCTATTCATCCCTTTTTCTTTGTAACCAAATATAGCGAACAAGGTTTCCTCAACAAGAGCATTCGCCGAAAAAAAAAAAAAAAGCACTTGGTAGCACTACTATATGCAGCCTAGAAGTGCACTGCTTCAGAAACGTTCAGTATTCGATAGTTACCTTTCCGAGGGTCTTCAACTCCTTGTTCGGCATCTGTTTCCTCATCACTCTTTCTTGTGAAGATGGCATAAGCCACTGATAAGAACAACACCTTTGCTGGCTGGTTAATGAGAGTGTCTTGGGTGAACGTTAGGATCATTGAAAAAAACCACTGGTTTGATTTATCTCGTCCCCACTTCATGCTGTAAAATAAGGTGTACAAAGCCGATGTAAAAGAAGCCATGATGCACAGGATCCATGCTATATATAAACACCAGTGTGGAAGGAAGCCATCCGATTTTTTCTTCTTTTTCTCTTCTTCTTCTTCACTCTTTTTCTTACTGTCGTAGTCTTCGATGTCTTTCTTTTGTTTTCCGCAACACCACCATTTTGTTGTGTCCTTTCTTTCAGCTACTGAGTTTCCGGAAGTTTTGTCGGGAACGTCAGAGCTGTAGATGAATCAGGTATCTCTTTTAGTTTGAAGTTTATACTGCATTGGATGTTTACGTTATCCAGGAAAGAAATTCCAAAAAGACAACCATCAACTGCTCTCTTGGCTCAAACCAGTCATAACAAGATTGTATTTCCCTAATTCTTGGCATGTCGAGCAAAATCAATTTCAATTGGGACAGAATGCGAAAGGGCCCAGAGCTAACCATAACATAAGAGCGTCTGCCAATGCAACTACCATTCCTTTACCTATCCCCTCTAGATAATATTCTCCTAGGCTAAAATTGGGTATGTGGTGTTTGGGAAATGTTTCTGGCTTACCTTAGCTGGTCAAGGCTGTCTATTTGGACAACATATTTGTGACCTCCATCTCTTCTGTTTCGAAAGAAATCCATTTTTCCACCTGAGTTTTTCCCTGGTTTATTTACCATGACGAGGTCTCCATTGTCAACACTGCAAGAATCATCTTCAGAGCAATCAATGCTATTTAAGTGGACTTCTTCATTCGGAGGAGCTTTCTTTCCAGCTCCTTTCTTTGTTTCGTCTATGTCGGAAATTTCGACTTCTAAGACACAATTTTTCTCATCCGAAGAGGATGAGGACTGTTTCTCTGTCTCCTCATCAGTCTTTTCAGTTCTCCTTGGTTTCACGCTCTTAAAAATGGTAACTATAGCAACATTAACTGGAATGATGACGAGGCTGCACTGTATACCTATCATAATCGATACTAAGTTCACCTCAATAGGCCCCAGGACTAAGCTGCCGCCACTGCCCCCGGATGCAGTTTGCCCATAAAACATAGCACTAGACACCATAGCTGTACACAGAAGGCAAAGACAACATGAAGTGCGCTGAGATCGAGTGAACTTACTTCTACAAGGCTTCAGAATGACAGAGAACCACAGATGAGCATCCGTGAAGTCTTTGTACAGTTTACTATTAAAAAGTCTTGAAAACGACGTAAGATCTTTTTCCCCTGCAGGAGTTAGCTCGCGCGTGATCTCGCCGTCATCCTCGTCCAGCGCGAACCATCGTTCACAAATTAATATCGTTACCGCTCCTGACAGGATGTCTCGCACCAGGACCCGTTTCAAAAACCACGCAGGTGACACTCCGTGATTATCGTGCCACACCTTCAAGAACGTTATTGGACCTAAAGACTGCGCAACAGAGATTACAAATGAGTTGGCGCTACCTTTTTGGAAAGTAGGACGATTTTCGTCTTTTAGAATACAGATTCCACTATCGCCACGTTCACCAAACAACAAACACGACACTTGAGCTGTTGTACCTGCACCACTCCGCTGACCAGTGTAAAACGTAAGCTCATAGTGGTATGTGGCATTGGATACGTTGCTGGGAATGGGGGTGGCCCCAACCTAATGACAAATGCAAAACGGATCCATCTAACTAAACAAGCTCCAAGCCAATTGGCATATAATGGATAAGTAAACAAGTAGAAGAAATGGCGATAAAGCTTTTATTCTGAAGCCCACTGAAACCATTCTTCCAGAACTGTGCATATGCCTGAAGTTGATCGGGTCTCGAGACATTTGAAGAAATAATTTAATTTCTGTACATCGTCACATCGTCAAAGTGAGATTAGTTCTGAAAAAAACTACTACCGGTGATGAGGATTGACGTTTCCGCAAGCCGAGCGAAAGTTAACGCTTGAGTGGAGTGTGCGTGTTTCATTTATAGTTGGTGGCTGCAAGTGCAACATTACTTACAAAAAGCCAATGTCTTTCTTATTTGTTTTCATCTGAAATCCTTGGAAATTGATTCAAGCTGTAACTGTGTTTTTTTAGTTAATTAAAAGGCTACCTGTAGTGTTATGAACCGTCAAGTGCATATGATTTGTTTTCTCGACTGTTTAACAATAATTGACCGATCAAACTCTGAGTACCTGTTGCATGTCTCTCTTGTCGGCTCTCCTGGCCCACACTAACACAAGAACATATGTGAGAAACATAGCGATAATAAAGAAAAACACCACTACGTTCCCGGTCTCGAACATGGAACTGAATCCAGCCAATACGGCGCTGTAATCAACTGGATTTGGGGCAACGTCCATTATTGAACCAAATGCCGTCAAATGGGTGCAACGGCAATGAGTGCGTGTGACATTTGTCAAATTACCAACCTAAAAATGCATGAAGAGCGTCATTTTAATTTAGCAATAAAATCTGAATATGAACTACACCTACTTATAATAGATGACTCATTAATGCTAACCGAGTTCGATGTCCGCACCACAAGTTACAGACCGAGTTTTTGTCGCACTTATTATTAGGGCGAAGCGTGCGTGCCATAAATCCGAGAGGGAAAATCGAGGTTCCTTAACTTACAGTACGGACAGAGAAAAAAAAAGTTGGTAAGATATTTATTGTATCTCTGGATTCCAATAGAGGGGGAAGATTTCAACATCATTCTAAAAACTTTTTAATTCAGCGGGCCGCACAGTGGAATACGGCCCGCTAAATTGACCAATCATAGCGCGCATCTTAACTGAAGAATATTCTAAAGCTAGGTTCAGAAACGGATAACTCACATCTACCTCAAAGAGTGTGCTCATGAGGAGCTCTCGCTAAAACAAAAAAAGCACACACATTGCCTCTTTATGTACTAAATGTACCTCGTTCGCTATTTTCATACCCATTCTTCTAATCAAAATGATTCTCGAATTACTATAGGGGCTCTATTGAAAATGCTCGAAGTCGAAATTAAAAACATGGCAAAGGAAAATGTATCTTTTTAAAAGCTTCATTTTTTATCTTATTTTATCTATAGTAACCTCAATTTGAAATTCAAATCCTTTAAATTCATATTACCTGACAACCATCGCTTTTCCACTTTTGAAATTTTTCGTTCCAATACAAACATTTGGATTTAAACGTCCTGAGCGTGTAGGTAATGCTCAAATCATCATCTTTGCATTCAGTCGGGTTTCGTTGTCCACCCAAGGAAGATGGCGACGAAAAATAGATGCTAATGAAATATGGCCCGACGTAAAGTCTCTTTTGAGATAAAAATAATGTTAAACTGGAATCGAGAAGATTATCTTTGAAGTACCTCGGACTGGAAGAGTTTCCGTTAGTGATATTTTTTTGTAGAGCGATTGTCTCATTTAAAGTTGAATTTAATAATGCGCTGAAAGAGGTGGGATCTTGATCTGTAGAGTTCGTACTTTCTTCGCTAATAGTTAGACTCAATCGTTCTTCTTCGGTTATGTTCGGAGAAACCGCTCTCCAATCGAACTCTGTGGTTGTCGGGGCTTTCCCGCGCCTGACATAAACCACAAACTGCCGACTTAGACCGATTATACGAACCTCTACATTAACAGCAGTGCCATTTTTGTCAACCAACAGCTTATGCGTGCGCCTTCCTTTGTGCACAGAACAGTTGTAAATAAATTCGTCTGGAGGACTGACAGGAGAATCCCTTGGAATGAAAACGTCTATTGGTTCATCTTCGTCCAGGTTGGAGACGCTGAGCTTTTCACCTTTGCTTTTGAGCGAAAGACTGACGACCTTTCCGGTGATACTCGACGATCCTTTGTCCCAAGTATATGGGTTGTCATTAATAGCAGCCATCTACACATAAACAAATGGTACACAAGGGTCATTAGCTTTGTTTGTGAACACTCACCCAAGTCTACGTGTAACACAACTGCTGAAGTTGTATCATAATGTGATAAGGCGCATTGTTTCTTCTTCCTGATAGGATGCTAGTCCATCTCAGGCTGTCCCCTCCCCACTTCCTCCCAGAAGTTTTGTCAGGTCCCAGGTCCCCCAGTTTTTATTGGTTCCTAAGTCGAGAGGTACTCTATAGGAGTCCGAAAACAACGATTAAACGTTCCAAGGCATGTCCACGTAGGAAAATTCATGATACAAGGCTCACCCTTCCAACATTTACCCAAAATCTCCGTTAACAGAAATGATCTCGAAGTAGTATCCAATGGAAAGTTAACAGCCAATTGAAAGCCAAATCCAAACTTATCCCAATGGTCATTCAGAAAAAGAATTAGCTTCATCATCAGCCAATTAGAACTCAAAGGAAAAAAAGGCAAACTACCAGGAAGACGGGAAACGCATGTGACCAAGTTGAGATTCGTTTCAGTTTTGACTCGGATTGGTTCAAAGACTGGTGCGAGTTTTCTAGACCAATCACGAAGCGATATAAAGCAAAACCACATAAATCCCACGTCAACACATCATAGGTACTGAGAAGGAATATGTGAAGAATAAGGCCTTAGTAGGAACCTAAGTCTCCTAGATTGATCTTCACTTGATATAGCAAAAACCTACCTCTTTGTCTACAGGGCCATCAAGATCTGAGCCTGTTTTGCCAAACAGTTTTCCTAAAGAAGGCGTCTTGAAGCCTGATGCTCCATCACCGATAGAAGATCCGTCAGGGGAGTCTGGATCAACCCTTTCTACCGCCATGTTGAGCTTGGCAGTTGAAATAACACTTGGTTGTTCACCTGGGAGTTTGTTCTCCAGGACAGAGCCGCTCACTGTTCCAAGCATTCCCACGATAGCGTTTGCTGCATCGCGGCTCTATGAGGTAATGTGCGGAGGGAAAGAAGCCTTTGAGAACCCTTTTCAAATTGCTCGTCTACGGAACAGCGGGTTGCTTGATCGCGTTAAAAACATTGAGCAAATCTTTATACTGGAGTACAATGTAGATTTTTTTCACGAAGTCCTATATCACGAACCTTGAAAACTACCTTACTTTAGACTTACGCTCAACATTAAGGGCTTCAGCTGAGAGGTTTCAGGCTCAAGTGAAAATTAATCTAACTACTTTCTTGTGGCTCTTTGACCAACATAAAAGAGTTGATGCGAAGTGAGAAAAAAAAAAGAACATCTAGCCGGGAGATGTCATGCAGGGGCGCTATAACGTTCCACCTCATTTTACCGACAGATCAAAACTGGCAAATAAAAACTTACAAACTCAACTGGAGTCTTATTAAATCATTATAATCACTTCTTAATAGTGACTCCCATTGGTGAACTTCAAAGAAAAAAATAGTCTTTTCCAGTATTTTCCAAACCAGTACGATCACACTACGCGACCAACTCTACCCAAGAACAGTTTTGTATATCAGATGTATAAAACCGAACCTTAGCAGATTCTTCGTCAAGTTCTACATTTTCGTCATCCGTAGAATTTCCAGGGAACTCACTGTCTACTTCTCTACAGTCAAAATGGTAAGGCCCACACGTTGGAGGGGCTTTC